AAGCAAGAATTTAAATATAGAAGTTTAAATTATTGACAAATAATACTGCATATTTGTGTTTTAGAACTCAACATGTCCTTATTTTGCCAAGCATTTCTTATTTTATATTGATGAGCATTAGATAATACAGTTCATGGGTAAAGATCAAATGTAATGAAGGAGGGAAATTTATTTTTTGTTTGCAGAAATGCATACAAAAATAGCTGGCCTGTCACATTATCACCTAGACCATTATTAACAGTTTACCACAAAATGGCAGAAATAAAAGTTTTATTTCCTCAGAAGAATTTTGTATTTGTGGTCCAGAATACAGTCCAGGTTAACTCCCAGTTATTTTCCTCAGAATTAGCCTCATGATGCATCAGGAGTTGTCAAAGGGAAATCAGGTGACTCCTGCCACAGTGATCCCTTTGGATTGTCCAGCTGAAATCAGGAAGAGAGTAAGATGCCAGCCCACTGTTTTTAACTAGATTTGGTGTAATAAGCCTTGGATTCCAGTGTTAGCACCACCACTAATTTGCCCTTTGATTTTGCTGTTTTAGCCTATCTTCATTGGTAAAAAGGGATAATAATAACTTCAACCCATCTCACAGAAATGTAGTAAGGAGGAAAAAAAAACAAACAATGCATGTGGAAGTTCTCTGAAAAGCTAAAAGTCCAAATATAAACGTAGATATTATTTTTATAAAGGCCTGGAATTACTCAACCTTTTGTTTCTAACTTCAAGCTTGCGAGAAAGCTATTTCCTTTTGCTCCTAATTTGGACAAAAGATACAAAGCATTCCACGTGGACTTTTCTCCTACTTCAAGCATTTGACTAGCAGAAGCCTTTTGCCAGCCAGCTACCAGCTCATAAAGTTGAAAGGGGAAATCTGAACTCCACTCCGAGTCAGGGATGTGGAGGTGGAAAGAATAAGAAATTTCACTAGAACTTTCCTGGTCTCCAAGGGGAAACCGGGCAGGACCAAATACACAGATAAGTACAACCACACAGCCTGTTAGACCACTGCAGAGAATCAGGTTCAGTTTAAAGTTGGATGGCAGCAGAGGCGGCTTGACTCTTCATAAAGCTAATCTAGGAGCAGAGTCAAAATTGTTGGGATAGAAATTATACAAGTTTTGCCTTAACCATAAGAGATGACATGTGAAGTGTCTTCTTACCTCAGAGACTCATGTCCATAATGATTTCTCTGCCCAGAGGACCCCTTTCTGCTTCCCCTTGTTATCCTTTTTAAGGAGGTCTTTCTTAGGGACGTCTTTCCAGCCAACACCACTGTCCTAACCCAATCCAGATCATGTCCAGTGCAAAAACTCAGAGCATCCTGCACTCCTCCAGTGTGTGCATTGATCATTGGAATGATCAGTTCATTATTTTGACTGTTTGACTGTTGACTGTTGCTCTTTTCCCCCTCCCCTAATAAGCTCCCTGAGGACAAAGAACGGTTTGATTTCATAGTATCCTCAAAGTGGAGCAGAACGCCTAGCTCAAAGTGGGCCCTCGTTAAATATTCATTGAATGAGTGATGAAAGAAATACGATCTGGAAAGAGCTCCAAAGCAGATTATCTCAGATCTTACATCATTTCTAGGTAGGTATATTCATGCAAACATATGCTATTTACAATAAAACTCTTAATTTACTGTTGCTCAGGGAACACATGTGCAAGTGGAGGGAAATCATACAATGAGGAAGTTAAGAAATCAATTATAATAATTTAGTACTAAGGTAGTATTCAGGTATTGCACATCCTGAATAAGGAATCCTTAAGGACTAGACAGTTTACAAGGTCCCAACTACCCACGCCTAGACGTTACAAAGAAGGGACATGAAAAGGGCAGAGCCATCACTTCTCAGGCTTGAAGACACAAACCACAGTCAGCAGACATCAGAGAAAAACTTCCTTCTGGGCCTGTGTCATGTGTTAGAACAGAAGGTTGCATGATGGAGCCACTAAGTCTTTCTCAAGCTATCAAGACAGCTCCCAGAGACACAGGTAAAATAGCAGCCAGTTTTGCTGTGCTGTTTACCTTCTTCTGTTCTAGAAAGTTGAAAAGTATGGCTAATTTGGCATTCTTTGGTGTGAATGCAAATAAATCAGGAAGAGAAAATGTTCAAAAACTATCATTCAAGCTCTACAGTACGGTAACGAAGTTTAAGTTCTTAATCTTTATCAAGACCATGCTTTTTGGAAAAAGGTGAGTCTCCTCCCACCACATGTTGGGTTTTTTCCCCTCGCTCTCTCTTGTTCTCACTTAACACATTTTGTGCAACTTTTTTTTAACAAAATGAGGTTTTAATTTTTGCACTGTGGTCATTCTATGAAACATACCATTAAATTCTGTCTTCCTCACTAAGTGGCTTGAATTTGACTTGCGGGCAGCTCAATCTACCCCATTTATGTGTGTGTTGAATCTGAAGAAAATAATAAGGATGCTGAGTAATGAAGATTGTGTCTTTCCTAGGGCTTTTAAAGTTATAAGGTTTCTATTCTTTCCTTTGAAAGATTATACACAATAAGTTACATTGCAAATAGAAATGAATTAAGTGAAACTGAGAGATCAGAGAAGAAATAAAGAGGTGCCAGTTTCTATAGAGGGTCTTTAATTGATGATGCTATGTACAATCTATGTTGTTCTTCTACTATGTCCTACCTAATATTCTGCAAATTCTAACTATTGAAAGGTAGCTAGAAATGAAACCATTTAAATGCTCCTTAGTAATTTCAAAATAATAATAAGCAGGGGACTTTCTCTAAGGTATCATCAGCCATATAACCCCCTTTACTTTTGCCACTGTTCTTGCTACTACTGGTAGAAATCCCAAAAACTCAGATAATCAAAACCCAAAGAGGGTTTATATTTTTTCCATTTCATATTCAAAGCCCATTTCAAGCTATGAACTGCCTTTATTCCTGAAATTGTTTGAAATTCATTAATTTTATTTTTCCTTTGGGAGAGTAAGAACAAGTCATGATAGAAGAGGAAACTGCCATTTGTTGCCTTCTGTGCCATCTCTCCTTTACTCCATTTAGTTGAAGCTGGGAGTGCAGGCCTGGGTTTACTCCATGCTGGGGAGGAGTCAGTATTTTTCTGTTACAACGAGCATCTAGCAGAGTTCCCTAAACATAGAAAATGTTCAGTGTAAATTTAGCAAAAGAATCGGTGAATGAAAGAATACAATTTTCTGGCCAGGTGTGGTGACTAAGGCCTGTATTCCCAGCACTTTAGGAGGCCGAAGCAAATGGATCACTTGAGGTCAGGAGTTCAAAACCAGCCTGGCCAATATAGTGAAAATCTGTCTCTAATGAAAATACAAAAAGTTGCTGGGTGTGGTGGTGCACACCTGTAATCCCAGCTGCTCAGGAGGCTGAGGCAGGAGAATCACTTGAACCCAGGAGGCAGAGGTTGCAGTGAGCCGAGACTGTGCCATCACACTCAAGCCCAAGTGACAGAGTAAGACTCTGTCTAAAATACTAAAATAAAATAAAATAAATCGCTGTATTAAAATGAATCATTTTCATCCCATTATTTTACAATTTGAAATCCACTGCAAAATAGGTAATATGCCTTTGCAAAATAGGTAATATGCCTCCCTACAAAGAGATCATAACAGAGAAATGTGGCTTTTGAAGAGCTTGCAAAAAAGGGACCTGTGCTCAAGCAAGCTTTATGTATTATATCTTGTCTAACACTTAGAAGCTTCTCTTGAGTAGAAAGGATCATTTTGGAGTGTGAGGCAAAGAAAGGTGTTCGCAGCAGCACATATATTTAAAATGTTTCATTTAGGCTGAGAGATGACCTGTCTCAATCAAACCACCATTGCCAACCTTCTTGTTCCATCATCACTTTGTTACAGAGATACACGATGACTTACTCAGGGAGAAATCTTTGCTTTTATCTGATCCACGGTTGAATCTTGTCTGTGTATTGTTCCTTTGCTTTTACTTTTTTTTTTTCCTCTCCGTGACTATGGAATTTTCCCTTTGGTTTCTCTTCAAGGGGTCCTTGTGTTTAAGGGGTGAGGGAATGATTGTCTACTGCAGTCTGCCTTAATAAAAGTGGCAATCTCCTGGCTTCCCCGTGGTGTGGCTCTATCCACCATGGGGGTAGAGCCTAACTGCACCATGTAGATGTGCCTGCCAGTCAGGGACCGCGGAAACTGCCACCCCTTATGTGTGTTGTGTGCGCTAACGGGCTTCCCCAGAGAATGGTGACACCAAGGCAAGGTAAACGCTGTTCCATGTTAAGTGGGAGCACAAACTTCCTTTAAAGTCAAACTTTGCGAACAATAATAATCTTGAAAAAGACCCTTTGGGCGCAAATCAATGCTCAAGAACGTTGCCAATCACTTGCAACCTCCTTAGACTTTTCACGGATATGTTATTTATGCTCAAGGCGGGGCTTCCTTTCACCCCCCGCAACCCAAATCTTTGCTCTGTGCTTCGGACCCAGTGGGGCTTGTCGGATGAGCCACTGGGAAAATACGCTTCCCTCATTTCTCCTTGATTAACTAAGGTCACCTTGACAGAGTGCTTCCCTGTCCCTCTGGGGCTACCTCTGTGGTGCCTTGATCTGCCCCTCTATGAGAAATTCTCTACCTGTTCTGGAGGTTTCCTGGGAATCGCGAGTTCTCAGTTCCCTGGACCTGCCTGCAAGCAGAATTATCCGCCGGTCCCCGCCCCCCATCCCCAAACTCTGGGACAGCAGAGGGGACTGACTGGCCATTAATGGTCATCATCTATTTTTAATTGGAAGATCACAAGAAAGATGGTAAGCGAATCCCAGTCGCAAGTCAATTTAAATAACATTCCTGGGGAAATCCAATCACTTAAAACGGAGACACCTACGCGAGCGAGAGCCCCCGCCCGTCTGGCGGGCCTAAGCGCGAAGGCTGAATTAATCAAGATCAAGGGGCTCCCGGGCTGAGAGCAGAGCGTTAACCCTTCTAGTCCCAGAGAGCGACAAGGCGGGGGAGGAAAAACGCGGACGGCCGGGGCCAAGATGCCCACGGCAGCCCCGCGCGGGCTGCCTCTGCCATTTAGGGAGGCTCCGGACCCCTTGCACCCGGCTCGGGCGGTTGGGCGCGCGAGGTTAAGATCAGAAGCTCGGGCAGCTGCTTGGGCCGCGAGTAGCAGCCGCCTCCCGCAGCCTAG